GTGACATCAAGGGCCCTATTGTTCTAGAAAGAACATGTCTAAATCTAACCCAGATAATATAAAAGAAATGCTCTTTTACAAACTAGTGCAATACTAGTGTCCAATTTAGACATTTTCTGAATATGAGTGATCATACACTCCAATTCAACTCAAAAAATTCAAGTCACCTAAAATTTCTATCATGTATGTATACACATGTATACACACACACACACATCTATACATATATATATACACACACACACACACACTAAAGACCAGTGCACCTATCAACTAATCAGCTTTTTCTAACTTTGTTCTAAGGTTCTAATATCCCTTTTTTAATTTTCTGAAGCCAAACTTTAGCGGGGATAAGGCTAAACTTAGTTCCTCTTATATGACAAATATGTCCTCCAGCTTTCCCACTGTTATGGACTAAATGGTACTTCCCTCCAAAATTCTTATGCTGAAGCCCTAGCCCCCAGTGTGACTATATCCGGAGATGGAGTCTTTAAAGGTTAAAAGAGGTCATACAGGTGGGGCCCCAATCCAATGACTAGTGTCCTTATAAGAAAGGGAAGAACACCAGGTGTGCTTGTACACAGACAAGGCCAAGTAGGACACAGAGTGAAGGTGGCCATCTGCAAGCTCAGGAGAGAGGCCTCAGAAGAAACCAACCCTGCCAACATGTTGACCTTGGATTTCCAACTTTCAGAACTATAAGAAAATAACTGACTGTTTAAGCCACACAGTTCTGTGGTATTTTGTCATTGTGACCCTAGCCCATGTTTTCAGTTAAAGTCATTTCTCTTCATGCTCAAAATTGATAAGGAAACTGAGACTCAGAGAGGTTAATGGTATTTCTCAAGACCACACTTCTAGTGACCATGGGTCTGGAATTAAAATCCAGGCCCACCTGACTGTAAAGTCAATGAGTTTTCTGCTGCCACTAGCTTTATTTCTTGCCTCTAGCTGACTGAAAAGACAGCTTTCCCTTCCTCAAATAATTATAATGACAATTTTTCAAGATACATATATTTTCTTAAAGGTGCTTCCAGAACATATCATTTGAGACCTGGATGGGCTTAGTTAAGTGCTGGCCATCAGCTCCCCACCTCTGCACCTCAACAACAAAGGGGATTTTTTTAGGTTAAAATAAACAAATTGATTTCTTATGCTATTTTACAGTACTTTTATTTTCATTTTGTTGTTTTGTTTTATTGTGAACATGTCACATTCACTGTAAAAACAGAGGCAATACAGAAATATATAAAATATTAATGGACAAATACTTTGGGAGCTTTCAGTTTTTCACTATGACAAAAAATACAATAAAATATTCTATGTGTTATTTGCACTTTTATCCAACTAGATGTTTCAGAATAAACTTGTAGAAGTAAACTGCTGAGTCAAAGAGTATGTGCATGTTAAGTTTTAACAGGTATTTTCAAATTGTCTTCTAAAACCTCGGAAGCTCTATCCCAAGCCCCTAATATCACCTCACAGAACAAAGTGCGTGACATAAGAAATGCTATTTCTCACATTTTTCTTCATAATAAAGTGTTGACACATCCTGAGCATATATCCAGTACATTTCATATTCTTAGAACAGAAAACATAATTTGCATTAAATGTTATCTGTATTAAGAATTCTGTTTCAAGTTAACATTAAAGGAAAAAATCCAACCCTCCTATTATATTTAGAAATAACGCATCTCCACAAACTTTGAAGTAGTGAAGGCTGATTCATCACAATCAATCAGTAAGTTTAATAAAAGTGAAGCAGAAATGTAGATTGAAACTGATAAGGCAGCATGTGGCATATTGTAGCAGATACTATTAGTAACGTGCCCAGTATCTACACTTTCTTCCTCCTATTAAAACACTGATTCTGCTCAGGGTTGCTATATGCCTGCCAAGGTGAAGTCACACTTCCCAACTCTCTAGTGTGGCTATATGACATAGTTCTAAGCCCAGAGTAGGAAACAGGTATCCACTGTGGACTCTACAAAGGCTTTTGCTCTTGCTGACAGAAGGGATGGAAATCCTTTGCACTGACATCTCCCACCCTACTCTTCCTCCACCATCACTTGCATCTGTCTTGATGTAAATGTGAGGCATGGCATTACCATAGCCATTTTTGTAAACTTGAAGACAAATAGTATGAGGAAAGGATAAGAGAATTGCAGAGATGTTAGCCTCAAAATTCCCTAGCACAGGCTTCTTGATATTTGACCTAGATTAAACATATGGTTTCTCTTTGTTTTAACCACTATATTGTTTTGGTACTTGAAGATGTAGACATCCGTAACCAAACATATATTACATTAAAAATGTAGATATGGTAAAGATGCTTTTAAAATTGAATTCCAATGAACTCTTATTTTTGAAAAAGAGTTCTGAATGAAGGTGGTGGATTATCTCTTTAGAAGACTGTAGCCTTTGGTTGGAAAGCAGTATGATTGAAAGAAAAGAGGATGAACTTTGGAATCTGACATACTTGAGTTAACATTTCATTTTTGTCATTTTCTACCTCTTGGGGTGGGGAGGGAAGCATGGTTGCTTCACATATAATTTAAACACATTCCTAAGAGTCCTACAGGTTTGTTCTAAGATTGCATGTGATGATCACATAGTAGGTAATCAGTACATGTTGGTTCTCATATTCCATTCAAAACTCTTCATTTTGGGAGAAAAAGCAGCCTTGATCAACCTCTCAGGAGATCATACAATTTCTCATTCTTCACTGGCTTATGAAAAGAGGAAAGTAACAAGAAAATAAGCTGATATAGGAGTTTTCAGTCTAAACCAGATACTTTAGGATGTGGTGTAAGGACAACACTGATTCAACTCAACCCTTAAACTTTGTAGAGGTACATCCTCAACAACTGAAAATCAGTGCTCATTGTGAAGGACTATGAGATTCCGCAAGATCCTGGCCTAGAGATTTAAATTAGGTTCACCCTATTGTACTTACCAATGCAGGAAATGTAAGAAAAAAATAAAACAATGGTTAATTAT